CGCGAGCATGCGCGGGCCAGCGCGGCCGCAGAGATGCACCAACCAGCTCCAAGCAATCATCGCAATCGCCGCTGCATGGGTTTTGCAAACCGAATTGCGGGTGGTTGAATGGGATGATTGCGCGAACACCGGGGTGGATCATTCTCTGCGAACAAAAATGGGTTGTACCACCGAGATGGCTCCACATAGATAGCACCACGAATATTGCTAGAGGCGCATTGTTTTGGGGCCAGCGCTGGTTAACATGCGTCGAACGGCAGAAGTACAGCGCGACTGAACGGTTGTCGGCTGTTGCGGAAGTGTTCGGGGTTCGATCACGAACGAATTTTGGTAGTTTTGTTCACCAGCGGTTCACCAAAGTTTGGGTACCCACGTGCATCTATCTTTATCGACCTAAGAGTTGACCACATACGTCTATCCGAACGTTTGACCACCGACGGCTTCTCCAACGTTATGTTCCGTCTCCCCTTCGCCTGCCTCCTCCTCTTCCTTCTCGTCCTCCTCCTCTCTCTCCTCCTTTCCCTGCCAGCCGCCGCTGCCGATAATCTTGCCATTGCTTCTGATCCTGCCCCTGTTCACGCTCCTGCAGAACTCCCCTCGCTGCCCATGCTCGCGCTTCTCTTTCTGCTGCTGCTGCTCCTCTTCCTACTCGCGCACCTCCGCTGCTGTTCCCCTTCCACTGTCGCTGCCGCGCTTGCCGCTACTGCCTGATGCTGCTGACGTTCCCGACCGCTGTCGGCCGCGCCGTCGTCTGTGCAGGCGGTTCGGTCGGGATGCGGTTCGCGGCAGCCTCCAAGCAGCCGTGGGGAGTGGAGAGGGGAGAGGGCGCTCCCAAACAGTGCTCTGACCACACCGCGTGGTGGTCAGTGGGGATTCGGGGTGGCCGTACGGTTTTGTCACTCGGGTCGTTCTCCGAGGACGCCCCGGGCGACGGGGGCCTCCAGGGTCCCACATCCGTTCGGTGACGGACCGTGCGTCGCGGGCGGAAAACATATCCGTAACTATCCGCAGCCTCGCGGGCTGGGCCCTTGGGCCGCGACCCCGCGGGTGCGGGGTGTTTTTTTCGCGGGCGCCCCGCTCGGCATGCGTCCGTACCCGCAGGATCGCGCCCGGGAATCCAGGCCGCTCGTGGGTGCGGTGAGGCCTTCTCGGGGTCCCGAGGCCACCGCGCGGCCCGTCACCGCACCGTCCTGGGACTCCCCTCAGACATGACGTTGCAAACAAGATGCGGGACGGGAAATTGACCACAGCCACTGCTTCTTGTTTGCGCCGTCTTCCAGCCGGCCGGAAAAGAAGCAGTGGTTGTGGTCTTTTCCCTGGTGCCAGGCTCGACGAAAATGACCACAACCACTGCTTTGTTTCTGCGGGCTGGGAGGCGGCAACAAAAGAAAAGCAGTGGCTGTGGTCATTTTCACGCCCCGTACAAGAGAATACATCCCACAAATATCACCACCAGAGTCCCGGATCGATCCGTGAGTGGTCCGCTGCCCGCAGCCAGGCGAGAGCGCCCGCGGTGAGACAGCAGCCAGCGCCAAGCTCCCAGGACCCCGAGGCGAGGAGCGCCGGCTCCGCCGAGGCCAGCAGGGCACGAGGGTCTGGCTGCTGCTCCGGGGGAGGGGGGGGCCTGTGCTCAGGGGAGGCTGCGGCACCGCTCCACGATGGCGCTGTGAGCCAAGCCTGCAGGGTGGGCCCTCTCCACTTCTCTGTGCACTTCGGCCTTGGCTTCGGCTTCAGCTGCCGATGCACCGTGAAGGGCCTTCGGGCCAGCTCACCCGAGTCGGATTTTCCGCTCGCACGGGTGCTGTCGTCCCCCCAGAGCTTTTGACAGAAGCTTCGGAGCTTAGGCCCCTGGCATTTGGACCCCTTCCCGGGGACAGCTTCTGCGTCGGCCGCTTTCTGATGACGTTGCCGCCGCCGCCGTCCTCGTAGTCGTCCTCCCCCCCTGCCAGGACCTCGACGTCGTGCGCAGCTTCTTCGCCGAGCCCTCGCGCATGTTCTCGCGCGCGCGCGGGGCCTCGCTCCTGGCGGGGGCGGGGGCGACGTCTGCGCCTCCAGGGGACCTTGCTTAGCAGACAGCTGGTGGCCAGGCGAGCCGTTCAGACAGGAATGACGTTTCTGGACGGTGGGTCCCACCGCATCGCTGATGCATCGGCGATGCGGCTTGATGTGGATCCCGATTTTCTACACGTCGACGGCGCCGATGCATCGCCGACGTCGTGGGTGCATCGCCAGCCCATCGACGATGCATCGCCGACGCATCGGCGACGCGGCGCGATCCTCCGACTCCACCTGCTCCGGGGCCTCCATAGCAGCACTGTAGGATTGCGGGTTGTAAAAAGCGAGATTTCAGGAGGGGAAAGCATACAAACACGGTTCATCGTCGACTCCCAGGGAAATGTGGGCAAGTATGGGGAGTGGGGGGGGGGAAGAAGGTTGGAATCCTGTCCAGGAAAAACTGTTCTCTGGTGTGTGCGCCCGTGGCCTGGTTTGCCCAGGTCCCCGTCTGCGGGGCCCCGGCGAAGGCCGCCGGCGGCCGGAGCCAGGGCCACCGTGACCGGTCCGTGCGGTCGGATGCCGGGCATCTGTCAAGGTTCGGCGATCCAAGCGGTGTCAGCAGCCGGGGCCCACGTCGGCACGACAGGCGCCAGCCATCTCGATCACCGCGTCAAGCGCCGGGCGGTGCACACGCCGAGCGGTGGCTGGGCATGCGCGCGCCTCTGGTGCAGGGCGCCGCAGCGTCGACGACCGCCGCGCGGGCTGGCCGCTGGCAGCTCTGCGTCCCGAGTCCTGGTGCCGTTGGCTCGCGCCGTGGTGGAGGGAAGCTGCTGCTGAAGTGCCTCGTCTCCCGCCTTTTCCCCAATGCGCCCCCACCTCCCCGCAGGGTTTAGCCATGGGGAGGTGGCAGGACGGTTTGCACGGCTACAGGCATCGTCTCATACAGCCGTTAGAAGCAGCAGTTGTTGAAGTGCGCCATCCCAACTTCCCCGTGAACCTTCGCCCTGGGAGGACCTGGCAGCGGTACCCCCTCGAGGCCGTGTCTCGGGGGACGGAGAGAGCAAGGAGGGCACCCTGACAGAAAGGCGAGCTGGATATCGACTAAGGAGTCCAGCGCCGGCAACTGCCGATCAGCTTGGCTTTGCGCGTTCTGTTGTCAAGCCTCCTCTGCTGTAGCACTGGACGGTATGTAAATGTCGCGCCGTTCCCATTCCAGTCCACTCCATTCCAGTCCGTTCCGTTCCGTTCCGTTCCATTCCATTCCACGGGGGTGGCCGCCGCACGCTGCCCATCACGAAGCTACCCCCGCAGCGATCCTCGACAAGGGCCCAATGAACACATGCTTGTACTGGCAGGAGGATTCTCGCTTCAACGCCCATCGTGGCATCGGGCCCAAACCGTTCTTGCTTGTGCTTCCCGACGGCTGTCGCCGCCGTGTGGAAATCCAACCGCCATCTGGGCCATAGTGAGCAAATTGCAAGTGTGCGTGGGCCTGAACCGTCTTGGGCCACTCCACTCACAAGGATGCCCACTCCAGCAAGGCTCTGGCGACCGTGGGCGCATACAGGGCTTGGAATGTTTGGGGCCACCCTTCACCAGGGTTCTCACCGAACCGCAATACTGTTTCCATCAGCTACGCAAGTGTAGCGTGTCTGTGGGCGCCAGGGTGTCTTATTATTTCTGCAGCGAGTGCTGTTCATAAGCCCCGCAAAGGACACGTTTCGTGCACCATGGGGAGCCAGCCGCTGCGGTCACAGTAGCACGCAATGATACCGCGCAGGATGTGCGCACCCGTCGAACGTTCCGGGCCCCACGGGAAGACCCAGCTGCGGCCCCAGTGGTGACAGTACAGTCACTTGGCCGAATCTGCATTCCACACATGTCATAGGGGCCCCACCCACGGCCCAAGAGGTCATGGTGCTATAGTGTTTCCAAACTGAGCCGCCGCACCTTGCATATTTCGGGGGCTGCGCAAATAAGTGGTGCGGGGCCGGCTTGACATACCTCATGAGTTTTGTGCCGCACAGGGGGTTCAGCCGACGGTCCCAGAGATCATGGTGCCATGGTGCAGTCGGACCGATTTGCAGGATACTCGACGACGGCCCCAATAGTTACACTACCGTGGTCGTGCAGGACAGATTTGGTGCATTTCTCGCAGGTTTCGTCCCGCACGGAGGGCTGGCGGCAGTCGCGCCCCAGCAGGTGGTCGTGGTACCAAGTGGTCGTGCGACGCCCCCCCCGATGCGCGGCTTGCAGGGCTCACTGGCCTCTCTGTGGCCTGCTGGGGCCCTTGATAGATTTCTGAGAGCTTACGGTCAGGTACTTGTGCTTAGCGTGTCGCTCCGCTGGTTCTGGCCCACCACACTTCGACGCGACACGCTAACCACGTCCCCATTTCCAAACGTCATAGTCCCGAGTGTTTCCCAGCCTCCCACCCCGCGGAGCGGAGCGACACGCTATCCGCTTGCACGGCATAGCGTGTCGCCTGGCTAAGCAAAAGTTCCCGACCGTATTGTTGGCCTGTCGGGGGTATCAGAGCGAGGTCGTCCTTGGGCGTCTTGGGCCGCTCTTGCAGGCGTCTTTGGCTGCCCTGGGGCTGTTCTGGGCCAGTCGCAGGCAGTGTTGGGGAAGATCTTGGGCGGCCTCGGCTGGTCGCGCACCCGTCTCGGAGTCCTACAGGGAGCCATTGAAACCGCTTTGGATGGGTTGGTGGAGGTTGTGAAGCCATCGTTCGGAAGCCTTGAGATGGGGGTTAATGCAAAAGGGGTCAGCCAGAGCGCCAGATTTTACAGGATCGCAGAGCATTGGTGGTTCTGACCCGAGTTAGCGCGCAGGATCCTGCAGGATATTGCAGGATCCTGCAGGATTCGGCAAAGCCCGACTGACCCGGGTTTGCATTGACCCGGGTCAGTAGATTCTTGAATCGTGCGCGATGAGGGAGGCGCGGCAGAAGCATAACTGAAATGAGTTCCATGCTTTTTTCTTACCCGTATCCGTTTGGGCTTAGAAGATCAGGGTAACGGCAGCGGTTTGCCGGTCATTCTTGTGGGGCTGAGACGATAGGAGCAGCGATCTGCGCAGCCTGAGCGATGGCGTCATGGCAGTTGGGCTTAGTCGTGATGGCTGTGCCTGCCATGGGTTGCACCAATTTTATTGTTTCAAAGCAAGCCAGCGCCGACAACTCGGTAATGTTCAGCTACTCGGCGGACAGTGGTCCTCTGTATGGCACACTGGGACATTACCCTGCTGCTGACCATCCTGAGGGGGCAAAGCGGCAGATCTATGATTGGGATGGTGGTTTCTACATAGGTGAGATCCCGGAGGCTCGCCACACTTACAATGTCATCGGGAACGTGAACGAACATGGTTTGGCCATTGGGGAGACGACCTTCGGCGGCAATGAGACGCTGGCAAGTGCAGGGCAGGGCTTGATCGATTATGGCAGTCTCATCTGGATCGCACTTCAACGCTGCAAGACGGCACGCGAAGCAATCAAAACTATGACCGAGCTTGTCGCTGAATATGGCTATGCCTCTGAGGGCGAGAGCTTTACTATCGCAGACACAGAGGAAGTCTGGGTCATGGATTTGATCGGTAAGGGCAAGTACGAGAAGGGTGCTGTCTGGGTTGCACATCGTGTTCCTGATGGCCATATAGCTGGTCATGCAAACCAGGCTCGCATCCGCACCTTTCCCCAGAACGATCCAGACACTTGTATATTTAGCCACGATGTCATCGACTTTGCCCGACGCATCGGCCTGTACCCCAGGTCCGCCGCAGATGTGGACTTCTCATTTTCTGACGCGTATGACCCTATCTCATTCTCTGGTGCTCGGATGTCAGACGCTAGGATCTGGAGCTTCTTCTCGAAGGTGGGGCCAGTTGGATTCGAGAAGCAGTATGAGGACTACGTGACAGGACGTAACCTTAGCAATCGGTTTCCGCCGTTCGTGCTGCCACGTGAGAAAGTCACGCTGGAGAGCTTGATGATGGCAACCAGGTCGCACTACGAGGGTACGCCCTTGGATGACCGCGACGATGTTGGCGCTGGGCCATATCACGCGGCTTTCCGCGCGCGGCCGCTTGCTTGGAAGCACGGGGGCAACGACTATTTCAACGAGCGCAAGGTTGGCACAGAGCAGACTGGTTGGAACTTCGTGGCTCAACTGAGGGGTGACCGGCCAGCTCCCCTTCGTGCCGTGAATTGGTTCGGGGTTGATGACACGAGCTATTCTGTTCGGGTGCCCTTCTACGGCGGCACGACCACTGTCCCCAAGTGCCTCGCTGACGGGAATGGTGATGCCTTGACTTTCAGTTTTGACAGTCAGTTCTGGGTGAACAACATGGTTGCCAATTTCGTCTACACTCATGCGTACGCCGAGCCCATCGTCGTAAAGGAGGTGGAGACAAGGCAGGAATTACTCATTGAGGCGCAGAAAGCATCTGAGGCAAAGGCTCTTGAACTCTTTAGCGAGGATCCCGAGAAAGCGTTGAACTTCGTAACGCAGCTCTCCAATGACCTTGCAGAGGCGCATCGGCAGGCTTGGCTGCAACTTTGGCAACGCCTCTTCGTCCAGTTCCGAGATGGTTTCAACGTCACCAGCACCGACAATATGCCAAACCATGGTCCCAAACCAAACCAAGGTGGTGTCGTCCCGAAGGTCGAAGAGATTGGGTACGATGCCACTTGGCTTGGGCGCATTGCCTCAGACACGGGAGATCGATACCGTGTCCGCCACGCCGCGAGCGTGGACGCCAATAAGGTCCGCACACTGAGCAAAGGTGTCCACTCGCGGCTGGCAGGCATCGAAAGGCAGCCCATCGTGGTGTAGAGCACCCCTCCCCCTCCCCCCCTCCCCCTCCCCCTCCCCCTCCCCCCATTCCCCCATTCCCCTCCCACTCCTCCTACTCCTCCTCCTCCTCCCTCCTCCCTCCTCCTCCTCCTCCTCCTCCTCCCTTTCGCAGGCCTCAAGAGCTGCCGCTCGCCTGCTGAGCCGAGGGGCGCAGCAGGATTTTCACGCTCTGTACAAAGACGCTTCGTAGGCCACTTCTTTGCACTGCGGAGAAACAGCGGGCCCTGCGTTTAGCAGCCCTCCTCTCCATCCTCCTCCTCCTCCTCTTCCTCCTCCTCCTCCGCCTCCTCCTGCCCCTCCTCCTCCTCCTCCTCCTCCTCCTCTCCTCCCTCCTCCTCCTCCTCCTCCTCCTCCTCCTCCTCCTCCTCTTCCTCCTCCTCCTCCTCCTCCCTCCTGGCCGTCTGCCGGACCGTGAGCCGGCGCTGGAGGCTTCCTCGGTGCCTCCCTCGCCCTCAGTGCTGGCCGCGTCCCCCTCGCTCAAGACGGTGATCTCCCGCCATGGGCAGACCTGAGAGCACACTCCCGGCGCTCGGAGCGGTGCTTTCGCTCTGTGACGCTGGCCGTGCTCTGGCCACGCTCCCGAAGCTCGGGACCTTCGCCAGGAGCTGTGCCAGGACCTTGCTAGGCCGGGCCCCGCTGAGGGCCCATCAGGACACTGCGAGGCCCCTGCCAGTACACGACCAACCTGTCAAGACCCTGCTAGGACCATACCAGGACTCCTAACGACCCCGCCAGGACCCCGCCAGGACCTGCCAGGACATTGTACGGGCCCCAGCAGGACCCAGCTTGGGGCCCATCAGGATCCAATCAGTATCCGATCGAGAATGGGCCCGGATCCTGTTGGGACACTGCAGGATCCCAACCAGAATTGCCATGACATTTCCGAGACCTTACAGGATGGCCGTGCGTACACCACGTGAGTGAGCAAGTCGTCTGAGAGTAGTGTTCGCGGTTGGAGGGATGGGGTGCCTCAGAGGAGGGGGAGGAGGAGGAGGAGGAGGAGGAGGAGGAGGAGGAGGAGGAGGAGGAGGAGGCGGAGGAGGAGGAGGAGGAGAAGGAGGAGGAGGAGGAGGAGGAGAAGGAGGAGGTGTGGAGGACGACGAGACGCACGAGAAAGCAGGAGGAGGATGGTGCCAGCTGGGAGGCTGTCAACCACAACCCGTTCGGTGATTACGCGCCCCAGTCCACTAGGATCCAGGGGGTGCTGAAGAGCCTGTACGACTCTTTCACCTCCGACCTGGAAAAGGCTCCCCTCCCCAGGAGGAGGAGACTTACGGCGGGGTCGTGTCGTGTCGAAGGGTGAACGCCGCCAGTGGCCCGGAGTTGGCTAGTATCAGAAGACCCTGCGCGATCGGAACGATCCACGCGGGGTCAGTCACCGACGCGATGGTCGTCACTGCAAGAGCCAGCCGCCACGACGTGGAGGACCCCGACCTTCTTGCGTCGTGCACAAATGCGCAGGACAGGAGTTCCTGCCCCCCCCCCTCGGGCCCCCAAGTAGGATGGGGCTGCGCCCGAGACATCCTCCAGAGCCGCAGGATCTCAGAGATTCTCGATGCACCCGCACTCGATGCTTTACTCGTGCTAACCCGTTAGCCCAGCATGCCTGTGCACTGCTACATGCCTGCCCGCCTGCACGCTTGAGCCCTACATTTTCTTTGATTGCACGTGTTGTCCCTCAGTCTGCCAATGCGCCATCTAGGCGCGGCTTCTTTCGTTCGTTCGATTTTATCCTCGTCCTGGCTTCGTCTTACCCAGGGGCTCGCGCGGGTCGGCCCGGCCCCAGACGTCCCCGTCATCCAGAGGCGGGTCCAGAGGCGGGCTCGAGGGCTCTGGGTCACGAGTTTCTCTCGGTGTCGTGGCTGCTGTCACGATTGTCGGACATCCGTGGACAGACGGGCGATGCAGGCGACGATTCCTTCGCCGCCCTCCGCGCTCCCCACTCGGGGGTGATGATGATGATGCTGATGGTGATGATGATGATGATGATGATGATGATGATGATGATGATGATGATGATGATGATGATGATGATGATGATGATGATGATGATGATCATGATGATGATGATGATGCTGATGCTGCTGCTGCTGATGATGATGATGATGATGATGATGAGATGATGGCCACGATGCTGCTGCTGCTGATGATGATGATGATGATGCTTCTGATGATGATGATGATGATGGAGATGATGATTCTGAGAGTGATGATGCTGCTGATGATGCTGCTAATGATGTAGGTGGTGGTGGTGGTGGTGATGATGATGATGATGATGACGGTGACGACGATGACGATGACGATGAATATTGTGCTGCTGTTGGCGATGATGATGATGGCGATGATGCTGATGATGACGATAATGATGCTGATGATGCTGCTGCTGATGCTGAAGCTGATGCTGGTGATGATGATGGTGTTGATGATGCTGATGATGATGCTGCTGATGACGATGATGATGCCGCTGCTGCTGATGATGATGCTGCTGATGATGATGACCACGCTGATGATGCTGCTGATGATGATGCTGATGCTGATGATGCTGCTGATGATCGTGATGATGATTTCGATCATGATGATGCTGATGATGCTGATGCTGATGATTATGATGACGATGCTGATGATGCTGATGCTCCTGCTGCTGCTGCTGATGATGGTGCTGCTGATGATGCTGCTGTTGATGATGATACTGATGATGATGATGCGGCTGATGACAATGGTGATGATGCTGATGATGATAATGGTGGTGATGATGGTGATGCTGATGCTGATGATGATGATGCTGATGACGGTGATGACCATGAGGATGATGATGATGATGATGATGCTGATGCCGATGGTGCTGATGATGTTGATGCTGATGCTGATGATGATGAAGAAGAAAGACCTGCTGATGCCGATGGTGCTGATGACGATGGTGGTGCTAATGATGCTGATGATGCTGATACTGATGATGATGACGATTCTGATGCTGATGATGCTGCTGCTGCTGATGATTATGATGAGCATGATGATGCTGCTGATGAGGTTGCTGATGCTGATGCTGCTGATGCTGCTGCTGCTGATGATGATGCTGATGATGATGATGCTGCTGGTGCTGATGATGATGATGATGATGATGAAACGCAGGGTGTGTGAACACATGGAGGAGGACAAGAAGGAGGTTGACGAAGAGGACGAGGAGGGAGAAGATGAGAACGAGAAGGGTGGACGCCGGCCAGGAGAGGGAAGAGGACGAGCCACCGTCCTGCCCCCCTCAGGAGGAGGGCGAGGAGGAGGACCCTCCCCTCGCTTCTCCGCTTCGCCCCCCGCACCCCTTGCTCGTTTGTCCCCCCTTTCATCCTCTGGCCCTTTCCCTCTCCCTCCACTCCTTCTGCTGCTCGTCCTCCCTTGCAGTATCGCCTTCGCCCTGCCCGCCGACGAAGCCAGGCGAACGTGGAGGAGGCAGACTCCCAGAAGTCGTTCGAGGAGCTCATGGCAACCAAGGAGGCTGCAGAACAGGGTTGACAGGATGACAAGAACGAGAGGAGGAGGAGGATGAGAAAGGGGAGGAGGAAGACGAGGACGAGGAGGAGGAGGAGGAGGAGGAGGAGGAGGAGGAGGAGGGGGATGGCGAGGAGGATTAGGCGGAGGAGGAGAAGGAGGAGGAGGCGGAGGAGGAGGAGGATGACGAGGACGAGGAGGAGGAGGAGGACGAGGAGGAAGAGGCGGCCTCTTCGGGTGGGGGGGGGAGGAGGAGGAGGAGGGAGGAGGAGGGAGGGAGGAGGAGGAGGAGGAGGAGGAGGAGGAGGAGGAGATGAGGAGGAGGAGGAAGGGGAGGAGGAGGAGGAGAAGGAGGAGGAGGAGGAAGGGAGGAGGAGAAGAGGAGGAGGAGGAGGACGAGGAGGAGGAGGAGGACGAGGGGGAAGAGTGGGCCTCTTGGGGGAGGAGGAGGAGGAGGATGAGGAAGACGAGGAGGATGAGGAAGACGAGGAGCTGGGGGATGAGGAATATAACCATGAGCATGATCCTGGAGAGGTGGAGGATGCGCATGATCAGGACGAAAGCGAACATGAGGCGTATGACGACTATTCTGTGGTTGTGGATTACATTGAAGCTGATTATGGTGACGACGATGATGCTGGTGGTGATGAGGATGATGGCGACTATGATGGAAATGCTGATGCTGATGCTGATGACGATGATGACAATGACGACGACGATAGCGATCACGATTACAATGACGACGACAATGCTGACGATGCTGATGATGATTGTGGTGGCCATGAGGATGATGATGCTGCTGCTGCTGCTGTTCCTGAGACGATGATGCTGATGATGCTGATACTGATATCTATGATGATGTTGATGATGATGATGCTTCTGCTCATGCTGATTTTGGTTCCGATGATGGTGCTAATGATGGTGTGGATGTTGATGCTGTTGACGATGGTCCGATGCCAGTGCCGATGATGACGACGATGGCGACGACGACGGAGGTGGCGACAACGATTATGCTGATGAACCTGATGCTGCTGATTGTGATTCGAGGGTAACGGCGATTATGATCAGTAGATGGTGATGCTGATGATGCTGATGGTGCCGATGCTGATGCTGGTGATGATGCTATTTATGCTGATGATGGTGCTCATGCTGGGGATGCTGGTGATGAGATGCTGGTGATGATGGTGGTGCTGGCGATTTTGATGGGAATGGTGATTGTAATGGTAATGCCACTGGTAATTGTGACGACGATGGTGTTGCTGAGGATGCTGATGATGCTGATGATGCTGCTGATGATGACGATGCTGCTGATGATGCTGCTGATGATGCTGATGCTGATGCTCATGCTGATGATGGTGATGCTGCTGATGATGATGATGATGCTGATGATGATAATGCTGATGATGCTGATGATGCGAGGATGCTGATGCTGAAAATGATTATGCTGATGATGCTAACGATGGTCACCACTTACTGCTGCTGCTGTTGTTGTTGTCGTTGTGATCTTTCTCGCACTCATCACCACTATTGTTCCAGAAGACGCCTACGGTGAATCACCGCCGCCCCTGCCT